TTGCATTTACTTGGATTTTTCAATTCATTCAACTAAAAAAGGAATAAATTATAATTGGTGGTAAGTCTATTATTATTATTATTATTATTATTATTATTTAATATCTGCAATATCTATTGCCTTGTAAAATTATAAAAATAAGTTAAATTTAAAAAATAAATGGGAGTGGAAGAATCGATGTATCTAAGCAACGGTCCTAAGAACGGAGTGGAAGAAGTAGAAAGCGCGCGCAAATAGAAGGAAATTGTGCCCTTTAAATATTTACCAAAAAGAAAAAAATTGTTCCCTCTAAGTAAACACAAACCTCCACAGACTTATCTTTGAGGCGCCGTTTTATACTTTGACTCAACGGTCTAAAAAAGTCTTTCTGTGTCAATCGCTAGGGTTTTTGTAAGGTTTTCAAAAGGCTATTTTTACTGGTAATCCTCCTCTTTTATCAACAATTTGATTATAAGAATTCGATTTTTGTAAACTGTATTCTCCAGTTTCGATTTGTTCCGAATTGCTTTTATATATTTAGGAGCTATACCTGTATATCACATTCAAATTCTTGAAATTTAGGGTTTAATTGAACTAGGTATAGTTTTGATTGATATAAGCAGTTCTATTGTTTGTTTCTTCAGGCGTCATTATAATTTTATCAATGATTCTCTTTCGTTTTTGTTCACTTAAATTGATTCCAAACACCCTTTTCCCCGTTGATGTGATTGATATTTTTGATCTTTGGATTATATAATCTTACCCATTGATGGCTATATTTCGTGATTTACAGGGCTCTAAGGACTTCTGTATTTGTCACTTTTTCTTTACCGGACCTATTGAATTATGGATCAGGAATGCTTGGCTCTGTCTGATGTGGAAAAATTGGGAAATGCTGGTAACATTAATTTGGATGTGGAAAAATCAGGAGTTGTTGGCAACAAAAATCTGGAAGATAAGATTGTGTGTCAGACGCCGGAGAAGACAACTGGGCCTTTATCCAGCAAATCAGTGGAGCAAGAATTCAAGATTACAGAAAAGTAGGTTCCTTGACTGCTTCATCTGTTTGTACATTCAAATTTGTTCCTTTTCAGACTTCAGACATAATCTTTGCTTATTCTCAGGCACAGGGCCATAGTGGATCTCTTTGACGGTATGACATGTTCATTGAGGTTGCTCCATTTGTCTAAGAAGTTGCCAATTTTCCGAAATGTTTGTGCTCAGGTTGAAGTCTTGAAGAAAAGGTAGTGTGCTTCCTGCAATATTTTTCATTTTGTTCTATGGTTTCTTTTTCTATTTGTTTTACCTACCATTTTATTTCTATTGTTTTTATGTTATACATGATAATGGGTTCATCTATTGGGTTGCACATTATCAAATTGTTTTTATGTATGGAGCATCGCCTTGCATCTATCTTTTGCTGAAATAATATTAAGGCAAAAGAGGCTGATATATTTATAATGCATTCAGGAATTCCCTAGAACATCCTTTTGTAGAATACGAATCAAGGCTTTCTATGACATTCATAACTTATCCTTTGATCTATTTGGAGAGTAAAATTGATATAGATCATTGTCTTTAGTTCCTTAACTTAGAAAACTTTAATTCTACATGTGAGGAAAACTTATTTCAATATTCTACAAAATAAATTTGTTCACATTTATGGTTCTGCGGTATCTTGAATGGTCAGCTACCTTGTTTCTTGAATGATAGGAGTTGATGAAAGATTTCATAACCCTAGTTTGTTTTAATTTATCTGAGGTTATAGCCCCCAACTGCATGTCCCTAGATGAATTTCATCTGTTTATGTACTTGATCTTGTAGTGATATATGGTGTTCCTGAGCAAACATTGTTCGTAGAAGATCCAGAAGTCTGGCAGTAGGAGATCTGGTATGGAAAGTAATTCTGCCACACAAGCACCTTTCTCTGTGTGGGTGTGTTTTTCTCCACTGGAAAATAACCATGCAAAATTTAAGGAATCCCTTTAGACTAAGGTATTCTGAAGATATATTGTCGCAGAAAAAAAAGGATGATACACCATCCTAGTGGATGGATATTTTCCACTTCCGTTAGAAAGGTCTCCATAGGGTACACAACAGGGCTTTCTCAAAATGATCATTAGCCAGCTGGAGAAATGATCTGTCAGAGCACAAAGCATATGATGTGAATCAGCTCATTTGCCTTGAGTTTCTTCTTATTTTGTGAGTTTAGACATGAGATAATTGGATATGTGCTTGCTACAGTAATTAGTTCAAGGACCAATCCAGATTTTACATTTTTATTTTATATATTACAGTTTTTATTTATCTGATGACAATTAGTGAAATTACTGATAAGTTGTTTCATTTTTTTTTTTTTTTTTGCATCCCCCTGTGACACAGAAATTTCTCATACAAAGATCTTTCACAAATAAAATATGTGCTCCCTGAAGCCATACAAATAGATAAAATTCTTGTACATGACCAGAAAACTCTGTGCATGAAGCCAGAGCTGAAAATCACTCTACTATTCGATGTCATAGAAGGTCATCATGAGCAATCAGATTTTGTTGCTCTGCGCCAAGTTTTTGATGCTAGGTTGACAAGTTTTTTTGCTTGGCATCTTGAGGTATTACTAGCTTCCACATCCTGTTGTTTTTCTACAGTTTTATGTGGGATGATCATAATTGCTCTTGGACCATAATTGAGATTTGATGAAATGTAACATGTGCCACTTGATTGGAAAATTACTTCTGAATTTCAGTTTAAAACCTTGAACTTGAATTGATGAATTTAAACCAATTCTAAAAATGCATTTAATTTTTTAATAGGCTTCCAATGTTTATCTTTACTTTTGGTAAATGTAATTGGAATTTGAAGAAGGTAGAACACATAAAAGGAATTGCACTAAACAATGTTTGACTTGGAATGCTTATTAAGGTGTTATGGTGTCCTATAGGAGATTAGATGGTCAATACATATCTTTATAGATCTTTCTTTTATGTTTCTTTAGTTGAGTAATTGATTATATGTGGAAAGAATATTTCTATGTTGAACAATTTGACTGATTTTGTGGATTGTTTTGAGGTTGGCTTTTAGGCTTGAATGCGCTTGGTTATAACTAGCCAATAATATGACTGTAAAAGAGTGATGGTACCATTTTGCTCGCAAAAATTTAAATATGGCCATCAGACTTTTGTTTTTCTGGATGCAAGGATTGTGACATTCCAGAGGCAATTTTACCTGAGCCGTTCAGCCAAAGGAGTCAAACCACTTCTGATAACCAAGAAAGCTGCAATATTGTCAATAAGCAATTGCCTGATTCCATAGATGAATCTCTGTCAACTTCCACTGAATCTGAGATGTTGTTGGAATCATCTCTTCTTCATCCATCTTTCAATAGATTCTTCTCTAAGGAGGCTGTCAGCACTGAAGCAACTGAAAAGAGCACTCTCCTTATATCTACTAGTCTGAATAAAGAAGACACTGAAGTTGCAGTTCTTGCAGAATTGGAAGAGTTTCCTTCCTCGAGCTCTGAATCTGTTATTGTGAATGACCAAGATATCGAAGACCAGAAATTAAAGGAAAGCTCAGATTCATGGTCCAGATCCACTGTCAATGATCCATCAATTGAATCTATGAATCCTCCATGCTCTATTTCTATTGTCTGTAAGAGCCCTATACAAGTCCTCACCACATCTGATAGTTCAATGATAGAAACACCAGGGCAGGTGACACCAAAGAAATTGATTCCTAGTACCGATGATAAGCCTATGAACAAGGATAGCCAGTGGAAAGCATGTAATAAATCAACAAAAAGGTCTTTAGATTTCACATCCGTGAAAGGTGATAAAAGTACATTAAGCTCCACTGTGGATGGGTCAGATTATCCTACAGCTTTAATTGATGAAATCACTCAAACCACAGAAAGTAAAAGCTTAATTAGTGAGAATAACCTCATTTGTTCTCCAGAGTCACCTAAAAATGTAAGTTTCTTTTCCCTACTCTACACCAGTTTTGTCTGTGGAATTTATCTCCAACTAATTAACATTTGCCTCTTTGACTTGCTATCTTATAATTCGTTGGACAAATTTCTTGGATCTTTTCTTACAGCATTTGTGTGCTTATTTTATCTCTTTGTGTGTGTTTTTTTTTTCTTTCACCCCAGCAGAAGGCTTCTTGCTTGGCTGATCTTGTTCCTTTGATACACCGTATATTCCAGTCTGTCAACCGCACTTCTATAACAAGAGAAGAACTTGTGCATAAGATTATCATTAATAATCTCGATATTGTTGAGAGAGGTATAGTTCATATAAATTTTTGTAGTTCTGATGGTATAATTTGCATTTTATGAATTTGAGCTAACTGAAATGATATTTTCGCTACTCAGGTGAGGTTGAAGAACAGATTGAACTTCTAGAAAAACTTGCTCCTGATTGGATTTGCAGGAATTTGGCACCTGGTGGAGATATTCTATACAAGTGGGTAACAATGCAACTCTTTCTTATCAATTATTTTGTTCTTTAAGCATGAAGAGAATACCGTTGAATATTGAGCTTTCCACCTTTTATTGATGTCTTGGCATTAATCTAGCAGTATTCTGGTTGCTGTAATGTTACTAGGATGTTTGCTTCTGAGTTTTTCAGTCTGCAAATAAGACCAATAAATATCTAGACGTGGGAGTAAGAACATATATTTATCATATTTGTTCGGATGGATATGGTATTTCAAATTAAAAGTACAGTTTGATGAGATATTATTCTTTTTCTTCACATCATAAGACCCCATCTACCTTAGTCTCTCCAGCCAAAAAAGAGGGAAACCACTCTTATCTTGGCTTATCTCTATTTTGTTTCTTGTGCATTTTTTTAATTAAAAATTTGCAGATTTCTTTTAACATATTATGTTAATTACTTACCCTAAGGTATTTGATGCATTTGTTATAACGTAAATTTGTCTTGACTTTCTCATTTTGGTCATTTCCTAACATTTTCGGTGTCTTTCTACACTAACTAATGTTTTCCTGGTACAGTTCACTTCTTGTTGCTTGTATATCTAACCTTCCCTATGATATAGTTAAGGATTATTTCAGTGATGATGTATGCCATTATCTGGTTCATTTTATTGCCATTTTAGCATGTCATTTGTTTATCCTTACATATCTTTAAGCAGCACCTGCACCACATGCATTTAAAGTGTTCTTTAACTCCCATAGCAATGCAGAAGAAAAATGTCTTATCTTTTTAATGACATATTTCTCATCATTATCTCGCTATCTCTTTCTCATGACATGGAAATCTCAATACTGTTTTTCTCTGGGCTTTTGCAGCATCCGGAAATTCTCAGATTTGAACTCAGTTCAGGCAAGGCTTGTCAGTTCGTAACAACTGTCAGAAGTTCTCTGATGATCAGCAATGTTTTATTGGATTTAGGATTGAGATGAAAGAAAATAGAAAGAACAAGTATTTCTGTGGACTCAGCTAATCCTTGGCAGTCGCGGCTTCAGTGCTTTCTTCCTTTTTAGCCATCCTAAATTGTTGCCCCAAAAAACAAAAGCCATCCTATTTTACTTCATGTATGTATGTGCAACTGTGGATTAGATTTTTGTTACGTTTTACTGCTGACAGTTCTATGATTGCTTCGAATGAGCAATTACTGTAGCAATATACTCTTTGACGAGCATTCTTTTTTTTAATGGCAAAGGTCTTTGTTATTTATTCTATAGCTGCTCCCCCATCAACACTAGAAAATAAGCAATTGTCAAGTTTTAACTCAGCAGTTCTAGAATCAATATAAAAGATCAATGAGATCATTAAACGAGAGGGATAACCCCTTTTTTCAAATTTTTTTCATTTGAGGGTAAATTTATGATCACCAACAAAAATGTTAAGGTTATTGAAATTATAAAATATTATCTTAAAAATAGTAATTTTGTTTAGTTTAATTAATAAAAATAATTAATAATGATAATTATTATTAAATGATAATTGACAGAACTACTAATATTTATTAATTAATAAATTAAAATTAAATAAAATTTTGATCTTAAAAAAAAAAAAAACAGATGACAGTAGTACTTTTTAACTCACACCCAATCTTGGGAATGACCCTACTTTTCGCTGGCTGCCATAAAATTGGGAAGCCACCGCCCTTTACTCTGGATGGACAGGAGTTACTAGAGTAGTTATGTACATTCAAGTCGTGCTCTGCCTTTCATGTGTTGTTTGTGAGTCTTAAAATACCTCACCCATCAATGAGAAGGCAGGTTTTACACAACTTCTCTAGCCGTCCCATGAGATAAAGGCTCTGGTCCGAAACTCATCCCCATTTATGGTAACGTTTGAATCAGTTCATGTATGTATACAAAATAGCCACATCAACCTTAAATTTGCTCCTTTCAACCGGTCTTGGCCCCCTTATTAATTGCACATCACTGATCTATAAACCAAAATACTGACTGCCAGTTGAAACCCATCTTTGCAAAGCCAAATTCACTGTAGCAATTGTAAAATTATTCTAGTAGTTGGGGGAATAATGAATTATCAACAACAAGCACGCTGTTGGCAGAAAATGTAAAAATCAGATGATTAATTGGGTAGTAGTTGTTTTCTTCTTACAAAGTTTTGTACAAGATTAACTAAGAATAGATGAGGGATTATATGATACATAAATTCTTTTTATTTAGAATTTATATTATAAATTATAAAGTTTAAGATGATCTCACATATAATTTATTTTTAAATGAATAAATGTGATACTACCACGCCAATTTTACTTTTTGGAGACCACACAAATCACTTGCTACATGGATGAAGATGAGGATTATTCATTTAATTGCCTATTTGAATTGACGTGGACATGTAATTGCTACATTTTAGGAGATAATTTAGTTAAGAAATTGAGTTGGCAAATAATAGACACAAGTGGTAAGATCTAGAAGGTGTTTTGATCCAATCTACTGTTAAGATCAGTGTAGTTGGTATCGTACCGTATCGGTCGGTATGGTCGGTACATATCAGTTTTAGAAGTTAACCGTAACGGAATAAATTAAAATTTCGTTTTGATCAAATTTTGATTGTATTGATCAAATTTCAGTGTATCGGGTCGAAATTTCGGATACCGACTGGTACACCGAAATTTAACCGGTACAATATGCAAGAATTTAAAAAAAAAACAAAACAAAAAAAAGATTTCATAGCCAAAACGACGTCGTTTTGGTCAGTCCTGCAATTTCGATTGTGCAAATCCTCCTGTTCATGCGTCCAGCTGTCTTGTCAATCTTCCATTTTTTGGTACAGTTGCCGCTACCATTCAAATCAAATTCAAATTTTAAAAGGATAAATTTCATTTTTAGTCCTCAACTTTAATATTTTATATAATTTTTATCTTTTAATTTTTTTATATACTTTTGTAGTCCATTCTTCATATTTTTTTTAGTCCTTCTATTAATTACTCCATTAAGTTTTTCTAAATATACACATTTTTAATCCTTTACTTTAAAATGGATGGACAAAAAATATGTATATATTAAAAGTTAAGCGATTAAAAATTATCATTTTAAACTTATTTTTAATTTATAAGAATATAATAGTTTCAAATATTAGTATCTCTTATTTTATTTTAAAATTTGACATTTAATTTATAAAAATATATATTTATAGTGATAAATCCGAAACGATACGCGAAAAATTTTGATATTCGGTACGTACCGTTTCAGTAACAAAACCAGTACGCATGCCGGTACGATATTGACTATTTTGGTTAAGATATTAATCTTTTTCAAGAAACTACCCACGATTTGTAACTGTCATAAAGTGGGGAGTTTCAAGTTAATAGCAAACAAACAAAAGTGAATTTTTTTATGTTCAACTCACGTCCAACTTTACACAAAACTCAAAACTAACTTTAGCACTCATAGATCTTGTTAACAATTGTTTACTTTAACTTACAAAATTTTAATTTTTAGCACAATTCCTAATAGATTTAGATTGCTTTCAACATTCAAATAGTCAAATTAGTTCATAGAGCTGCTTCTACAATTTTCCTTCATGTAATTAACAACAAAATTTTCAATTTTTGCTAGGTACTATTTATTTTTTGAGTGGTGTTTGATTAAGGTTTATGATAAATGATTACTTATATAGCATTCATGTTTCTTCTTAGTTTTTGGCATACTAGTTTACTTATTGTTCATATTAGTTTCACAATTATTTAGTCTCAAGTAGTCTAGATCATATGGCTAAATTTTTAGTTTTATAGTAGTGTAGTTTCTAGTTTTGTCTATAAATCATAGTTTAATTTGACAATTTAGATGCATATTTCATTTACAAGTTTACTTTCATTTGCATTTTATGTAATTCATTTAAGATTTGTTAACTATAATTTATGGTAGTATTTAAATTCTTGGAACTATTTAAGATAGATTAGTAACTCATTCTTAAAAAAAAAATTTCTTCCTCTTGCAAATTGTCCGAAGGCATAGATTACAATTATAAACTAATATTCTTCCAGCCATATGTACAAAGATCAATCGTATAAAAGAAGAAAGACGTTCAAAAAATCCACTTTTCTTGCTTTACAAAAAGAAAAAAAAATGGCACGCCCCCCATCCAAATCTATTACACATGCACTGCTTTAAAATTCAAAAAAAAAATATTAATGAAACATGTAACTCAATCAACATGTATTTACGTATTAGATGTCATGTTAGTTATAATAAAAATAGTAAACGAAGAAAAGCTGTATCATTGCTTTATTTTTATTTTTATTTTGGTTAAAACGCTTCTTTAAGTCTTTAAATTTATCTTAAAATAATATTTAAATCCCTAAATTAAAAATAAAGTAGATAAACCTTTTAACTCCATTAATAATGTTTTAACTCCACTAATAATGCAAAGAAACTCTTCTCATTCATAGGTATTTATGTTTTTAAAGTGATATTAAACATAAAATACCATTTCTAATAAGGTTTTATTTACATCATTGATGGAGTTGAAAGGCTTATTTACTATATTTTTAGTTTAGGGGTTTAAATGATATTTTAAGACAAATTTGAGTGCTTAAGAAGGATTTTTGCCCCCTTTTTTTGTTAGTTTCTACCACTAAAGACAGCCGATAAAACCGTTGCTGTGGATGACAATGTGACATATCATTTAAGGGCCCTACCTAAATTTTCTTCCACCGCCACTTCACCAGCTTCATCCCAAATTTAATAGCCTCACCAGATCCCCTCCGTAGCCTTTGATGCGGGACAGACAGGTCACTCTCACCGAAGTGACCAAACCATGTTAATTTTTGGCAGAGAACGAAAGATTTGCACGCAAAATGCAGTGTTAAACATTGAGTAATTATATAGAATTTTTTAGGTAAAAAAAAAAAGAGTAAAATTTAAGAGGACTGATAGTTTAAATATTAAGATTTTTTAAAAAATTATTTAAATATTTTAATTTTTTTATTTCTTAATTTATTAACAGCATCTTAATTTTTTTACTACAAATCTTGACATTTTAGTTGTTAGGATATTTTAATTTTTTTAATCTTAAAAAAATTATATATAAAACTTTTTATCTTATACTGAAAGATATAAACTAAGAGTGTATTAATTATAATTTTTTACCATTAATGAAGGGTAAAATTAAAGTCGCTTACTACACATGGTTTTGTGGCCAATGATTAGTGTTATCGAAAAGTGCATATCCTCTCTTTTTGGTGGGTTCCACGACAAAAAGTTCAAAAAAAAATAAAACTAAAATCCCTTATTAGGCGAGGCTATTATATTTTTTAATCGATAGGGTCTAAAACTAAAATATTTTGTGTATTATATTTTATTTTATTAAGTAAGGTCTATAATTATGAAATT